ATGTACGTACTATTGAGGATGGCACTTGATTAAGGTCCTAATTTCTGCTGATAATGTGATCTTGAGATTACATTTCCCACAAGGGAAATCCTTGACAGTCAATGGTTGATGTTTTATTTTCGTGGCTCTCCCAAGGACGTTTCTATCGTGCATAAATAAGCTCGATTTGTGTGCTTGTCAACCTCGTATTTTCTGGGTGTTGGTAGAATACACTTTCTACGCCACTTCAAGACTTTTGACATCGTTAGCAGGGTAGGGGACAATCGAATCAGAACAGCCTATCGTGTCACTGTATCATTTGTCTTCGATTTCGTTTATCGAATAAGATAAACTCCTAATTGTTTCAAGCATATTATCAATAGTCTTGGAAGTTAAGCGTTTGCATGCACAAAACCCCCTAGATTTCAGTTCCAATGACCCACATGCAACACTCATAGATGCGCACTGATGACATGTATTATCCTAAGACGATATAGTTGTCTATAGTGAATAAAACCTACGATTTTTATGTATTGAAAATCTAAAACTGATATCAACATACATCAATCATTTTTAAAATGTCATTATTATTATTATACGCATTGCTGATAAGTCCCATACCAGGACAAAACGGCCATCCAGTGCTTTCCGGTCTCTCATGGTGGTCCAACATGAACATTAATTATTTAAAATATCACCTTGTTTTTACTTTTATTGGATGCCAGTTAATGATTTTCTTCATTTGGGAGGCTGCATTTAGTCAGAATAGTAAAGGTTTTTATTCAAAACATCGTGTTTCGTTAGGGACGCAATTATTATTTGTTCAATCGCAGTATTAATTGTGTGTTTTAAATTATACTGTTTACTAAATAATAAGTAGTTTAAATCATATTGCATAAATTAGTGATCAAGTTTTCGTAAATGTGATTGGTAGGATGTATTATTATTATTATTATTATTATTATTATTATTATTATTATTATTATCACGATTATTATAGCGTTCATTGTCATTGAAAGATGAAATACAATTGAATGTAGTTGAAACTCCATTAAAAGCATTAATCAAATCAACACGTTCACCTTCAACACCGGATATAAGTCAAATGATTGACAAACACTCGGAACCATTGTTTTATCCATTACGTCAAAATTCGCTGATACTTGATCAAGCTATCGATTCAAATCATGTCTATGAATTACAAAAAATTGTACGTAGTAAAGTATCAGAAACACCATTACGATATTTTGTTATGAAAAAGTAAGATTAAAATAGATCATTTCAGTAGTATAGTTTGTTTTTCTGGTTGTTTTTTCTTTTGTCCGGTGTTTTTGATGGAGTTTATTTCAAAATTCCTACAATTAGTAGATTTTTATCGATCTTAAGATTTCATGAGCATTATAATACTGATTGACATAAATCCATGAAGTCACTGACAACTGGATTGAGTTGTGTTGGTAAGTGTAGTCTACTTGGTTGGCGTCTGCGAGATGATATTAATCGATGGTTAGAGACCTTGAACGATATGGCTTAAAATCATTTGCGGGTGCATCCATTCTTTGTGTTCTCTCAAATCCTAATCTTCTGAATTCTTCATCACCCTAATCTCTCCGATTACTGCTAATACTTCTACTACCTCTACCACTATGGGATTTGAGTTGGAAATTGCGTCTGTGTGCTAATGTGGTATGGCAACCTGGACTGATGCACGAACGTACGAAGTTCTACGTTGTAACTGACTTGACAATACTGATTCCCTTGGAAAATTTAGCTAAGTGGTTGAAAACAATCGATAAAAATGATTGTTTAACATTTTAAATTAGTTTGAGGACCTCTCTGTCTGATGTAGATCTGAACACTGAAATGTTTGTGTGTGTTTGTACAAATGTGTTTGAGCTTGTCCCACAGCCTTTGGACCAATTAATTAATCCATTCATCTCGAGTTATCATGTACATCTCTTTCTATCCAGTCGATTATTTGTTCACAATCATGGATGTTTTCATTTGAGTTTGTATGTGTGTCTGTGTGTAGTGCTCACTTCGCCTATCATTTGTCTAGCCCAATTTTTGTCTGACTACAAAAACTTATAGTACAGTAGTGTAGATTGTAGTTCATTATTGAAGTCGTGAATGGATCATTTTCAGGCAAGCATTAAAAGCCTGCAAGCACTGAAAGACGGCCGTTTCATCCTGGTATGGGACACATCAGCAGTGCGCATCCACGAATCCTGCTACTCGCATGATTCGAACTCAGGACCTTCGGTCATGCGTGCGATTGCTTAACCTCTGGATCACTCAGCTTGCATCCAATGGTGTTAGTGTCCATCTTTGATTAATGTAAGGGTTTGCTGAAGAGCTCCATACTAAGACGAGACGGCCGTTCAATGCTTTGATGTATCTAATAGTGGTCTAACAGTGATTGGTTCATGATTTGAGGGCTACAACTAAGGGTTAGTCTTGTGACACAGTTGAGTGCTTTCCACAATGTGTGTCCTATCCATTTCCAGCACTTCTTGGTGATTTCTTCCACCGCTGGAATCTGGTTTGTTCTCCTCCTACAGTGGGATGGTTGGTATATTACTTGCAATAAGTGGTATACCCTTATAAAAAATTAAAAAATTTCATTACTATTATGATTACATAAATGGTACTTGGAATCGATTAATTTAGTTTGTGACATTTAAACTCAATTTGAAATTATTTAAATTGCGTCGTTGTTAATATTTCTGAACTCAGTACCTAAGTGGATAACTCGTAACTCAGAGTGAAATCGTTAACTCTAAGATACAAGTACTTATACTCAGTTGACGAATCCTGTATAAAACGAAATGTGGGTCATGGATTAAACTAATCTTAACCAGACTGCCATTAGTCATGCACCTCAATCTCTTGACTCGTTTCTCTTCGGTGGTGACTTCTAGGTTATACTCGTGTGCAGTTACGGGTATGAAGGCAGATATCACTTCCCAGCTCCCTACATCGTGGAAAGATATTTCTTGAGAAACCTGAAAAGGAAGTTGGATTATTTTCGGTCTTTGAGTCCTTGGAGCGTGACATTAGAACCTAAATGACGACTGTTTCAGGCCAGTCACGCACGGGGTTTTTGTACTAAGTTGACATGTTAGTCCTGCTCTTCAACTGGCCTAACTAACCGAGATGGAAATCCATGAGGTAAAATGAGGCTTGACATTTTTAGGGTCGATGTTCTCTGACTCCTTCCTTCCTTCTCAGAAGACAGCATCGCTGCAGATGCTGGTTGTGCGAGGGAAACAACTTACCATTATCACACCCCTCTACAACTAGCAGTACGACTACAACCCTAGATTTTGGGTTGTTGCTTCTAGTCCTACGGTTCTGGCATGGTAGAACCTTCAGGAACATATTTTCTGGTCATCAAGATATACCAGCTCAACCACTACTTCAATGTAACAGCTACGGTCAGCACTCCATTATATACTACTTATAAAAGTCATCTTCTAAGTAGCATCTACCACATTGGCTATAAGTTATAACTTGAAATTGAATTATAAGACATGAGAATTTATTCAATCGTTTTTTTGTGCATCTTTTTTTCTCGAAAAAAAACAAACTAGAATTACAGATAGTATCACGCTGATTATTTCATGTGCAACTTATTTTAATGACGACGATGCTGTGTTGAAATGGCAACGTGATGGAAATAATGTAAGTTGGTTTTCATTTCAATATGTTAAAAATGTTATCATCCTCATCAGCATCTCATTGTAGGGTTGCGTTGATTGTTGAATTTCATTGAAATCATGAATCGACGATCATCGATGTAAGAAAGCCGTTGGGAAGCAGGAAACACTGTATGGTCTTCTCGTTAACCTTTTAACCACTGAACCACTAACAAACGGTGTTATTGTCTTAATTTCGATCAATCGTTGATATTATTCGACCTCTATTCCATTGTATTCATCGGGAACAACATGCTTAAAACCTGTCACGGTTGAGGCTAAGTGTCCTCATGCGAGATCGCAGATCCTGATTCCGATTTCCGCTTGTAGGATCGTTAAGGCGCACTGATGAACAGTCCCATACTGTTTGGAAATGGTCTTCAAGTGCTTTCAAGTTTTCGATCGTGATCTAGCATTGATTGATTCGTGATTCTATTGAAGTCATTATCTCAGTTTTATATAACTGGAAGAACAAGGTGTATTCTTTGTTCCACTTGTCTCAAAAGTTTCTATTCGGATGGCTCCAAAAAAACTTACAGACGCTCCCAAGAAACCGAAGACTTTTCATCTAGTCACAGCGCAACAGAATTTCTGCAATTGTGATGCAGCTAACTGCGGATTTGACGATTTTGATGATGCTTCAGTCTAAACGAAATACTAAACATACACAGCGGTTCTTGGTACATTTTGACAATTACTGCAGTACAGTTGTATTCTGTTTATTTTTTTCGGGCTTTCGCTTTGCGACATAAAAACAGCTGTACTAGTTATAATGCCAAAGTTTGTATTTTGTGTTAGCTTTTCTATAGTAGCAGACTTAACAGTTTCAAAGTGTTCTTGTTTAAAATACTAATTACTAAATGAAGTTCGATAGTGGGGCAACGGGATTGTATTTACCAAAAATTACAGAGTTTCTCAGTAAAATCGGAAAACCATATCGTAAATCCTTAATTTGCAAAATATCAGTTCATCTTTTCGAACTGGACTGTTCCTGTTGCAAAACATCAATCCATTGTCACTATTCATGTGTTTCATACAAAGTCCATTGTGTTCTAACTCTTCCTTTCTTGATCTTCCCTTATCTTCTGCTGCCAGACATTACGTTGACACTCACGTCACATACTACTTATAAGTAGCTTGCACCACAGTACGTTCTGAATATATTGTCAAAAAGAACGTTTTAAAAATACATTGTACAAAGAAGTTTTGAACCGTTTGAGGTTGATAAATTTAGGCTGACAACAACAAGATGAATAGTAAGATTTGGGTAAAAATCAATTAGGTATCTGGATTTTCGGTTGGCGCCTATATTGTATTGAGAATTTTTACGAACATCAACTGAAGTAAATCACATGTTTGACATACAGCAACTCTTCATTGTTTCTTATTCATATGTGAATAGAAAAAACAGAATTTATTATCAGCATATTAGTTAGATGATAGATTCTACTGCTCTAAAAACAATGATCACTGGAGTTTAACCCTGTCTGTTGTATACATTAACAACTGAAAACAATGTATGAGGATGCGAAAAATGCTTAGATTGATCAGAGCTAGAGATAAACACCGTTGTTCCAGAGGTTAAGAGTTTGCACGCACGATCGAAGCTCCTGGGTTAGGGTCCTGAGAGCAACAGGAGTCATGGACGCTCGCTGTTGATGAAACCCATACTAAGACGAAACGGCCATCTAGAGCTTTCTGATTTCTCATGGTGGTCCAGCATAAAATGTCACCTTGTCTTTAAATTTATTTTGAATGCCAATCAATAATAGGTGACCATTATTTTATTCACTCAGGAGGCTGCATTTAGTCAGAATAGTAAAGGTTTTATATTCAAAACAATATGTTTTGTTAGGGACGCAATCGCAGTAACAATTGTGTGTTTTAAATTATACTGTTTACTAAATAATAAGTAGTTTAAATCATACTGCATAAATTAGTGATTAGGTTTTTGTAAATATGATTGGTAGGATGTACTAATCACTATGAGATAAACAGTAAAACATACAACCGATCATCATGAACGCATTCGTTTCAGTGGTAAATTCTTTTTTGAGACCCCAATAACACAATAATAAACTCATTTACTATGATCCTTAGTTTCATGATGATACCCGTTTGTTGCTTCAAAGATTTATAGATCGAAATGAAATCAATGATGACCATACCTTAAGTTTTCCCAATGAATATTATCAACTCTATAAAAAATCATACTATTATATATCTAATTTTTCTCTCTCGAGACTAGATAGATTTTATTTTATTTTTTTTTTCATTGCATTTCAATATTTTCATATTTTCCTAGGCTGCAATATGGACTAATGAACCAATCTATGTATTTGATCGTGAAAGTCGTTCAGTTCGTTTACCAGCTTATATGCGTAATAGTTTATGCTTACAAATGCATGGAAAAAAATCAATGATTATAGATCCACCGTCTGTGTTGAGTGCATGAAAATTGCAGAATTTTAATTTTAAACTTACTATTTTTATCATTATTATTACGATTATTATTACTGACATGTTTATTTTTACTGTTTTGTTTTTACTGTTCACAAAAAAAAGAGCGCATTCTTCATTCTTGTACACAACAAGGTTGTTTGATGATTTAATTTGTACATAGTTACGATGGATTTTTATTTTAAAAAACAGAACTCAAAAATAATGCAGCTATTATTATTATTATTATTACTATTATTATCATTTTAGTATTTTCCTTTTCATAAATCATCAATCTGTTTCCTCGTGTTCATCAAATGAGAACAATGAAATGTATATGCGAATGTACTTGGAAAGTACTGAGCAGAGAGACAGTGAGACACAGAAAGAGAGAGAGAGAGAGAGGTAGAGTGCATATGTAAGAGAGAGAAATAAGTTTCCCGGTTTTGCATAATCATCTCTAAAGATACCTAACATGTTTTAAATGATTTTTTGTATCGAAAATTGTAATAATAATGGTTATTGGGTTACTTTTCCCCTAATTTTAACTCTCTCTCTCTCTCTCTCTGTGTTGTTTCTTATTCACAGAACAGTCTATTTATTCTGTTACCATTGTGTTTTAAGACTTAACTTCCAGGAATAAATCGTATTTGTAAAAAGAATGATTAAATTAATAATGTATTTTATGATAAAAATAGACAAAATCATGATAAAAATTTTATTTATAAAGTGTTTACATTATTTGTAAATGATTGTTGTATAATTTTCTCCTTCATTTTTCATTTTTTTGATTAATTTTTTAAAAAGTAACAGAGGATAAGAGTCTCTTTTTATTTTAGTTTTTGAATAAGAGTTAACAGTTGAAAACAGGTGAACAGTGTTACGCCTACAAGTAAACACGTCAAAACTTGATATGCTTGAACTATTACGAATTCGCTTTAGTCGGAAAACGAGAGCGAGGATCACAGGATCCGCTGACACGACATGCTACTGAAATCCGATTATCCCAACCCCATATTAAGTAAAAGAAGACAAGACTTGATTTGAAGTAGAACCTGTATTCTACAAGCATTCAGAAAGTATGAGGTCCAAGTCCAGAACAGAATCAGGATTCCGGACTATGGATCCGGGACCGGGTCCTGGTCTTGATCATAAAACATTACAGATAATGCGTATTTATACATTTTGGTCGAATAGGAAACAGTATCGAATTCTGTGACATTGACAGTTAAGACGACCAATAAGAAGCAACATTTGAAGTGATATTGATAGTCAGGAAAACCAGTGAGAAACAACATTGGAGTACGTGACATTGATATCTAGGACGACCATAAAATTGACCAGTAGGAATTAACCAATAGGAATTGACCAATAATTCTCTTAGGATATCGGATATTGAATATCCTAACAGACGGAATCCAGATTTCTTTGTGACCAATTTGGTCTTTGCGTGCTGTGACGGGTATGAGGGCGGATGTCATTTCCTGGCTGCTCACGCCATGGAAGGGTGTCTCTTGAGGAACCTGAAAAGGAAGGTAGATTTGTGTTGATCTTGGAGTTCTGGGAGCGAGACCGCGGAGCCCAAGGAACAACTGCTTCAGGATCGTCACGCATGGCCTTTTCATGAGAAGTTTACAAAACGTTCGCTCTGTTCTTTTTTGAAAATGCCCACCGCCGGAGACGGGAATCCGTGAGGTAGGGTGAGGTGTGAATTTGTAGGGTCGACCTTTTCTGACCCCTTCCTTCCTTGTGAGAAAGCAACAGCATCGCTGCAGATGCTGGTTGTCCAAGGAAAACACCCAACTGCTGTCACACCCCTCTACAGTCAGCAGAACGAATTCGCCCTCAGAATTTGAGTAGCTGCTTTTAGTTCCATCATTCTCCAATCAACCTGCTCGGCATGGTAGAGCCTATAGGAACATATATACCAGCCATTATAGCTCGGGCGGGTCATAACGATAGGTAAGCCCAACCACCATGTCAAGGTAGCAGCTACTTCTACTATCGCTACCACTGTTGGATTTGAACTGTCAGTTGCGTCTCTGTGCTAATGCGGTGTGAAAATCTGAAATGATGTACGTACGTGCAAAGTTCTACATTGTAACTGACTGACTGACGGAATCCAGATGTAAAGGAATAAAACTAGTCAGTTCATGATCGTTTATTCAAATAATGATTCTGAGATTTCAATGAAACGATCGATTGATCAATATCAGATCACTATTAGGAACCTGGAAGCACTAAGAATCGATTGATGCACCTTCGGTGTTCCGCGTAAACGATCAATATCTAGATCACTAAGCTGCACTCCAACATTATTGATGTCAACTTCACATTTGGGATAAAAGGCTGAAAATTATATGTTAGGTTGTAGAATTTCACGTCTGATTGTGAAATTAATATACCAATGTTGGTTAATTTGTGTGTAAGACATTGTACAAAAAATTTTGTATGCACGTAATAGCTATCTGAAGATATTTAGATTTTTTGTTTTGACTACTGAATACATTCAAAGTAATATACATTGTATTTTAAAAATAATGATGTCTAGAACGTTACATAAAACAAATTATGTGGATGAGTGAATTACTTCGGCAGCATAGTGAAAGAATAAAACCCCAGTTGTAGGATTGATGCCCCTGTATTGCTAATCCTTGTCTTTACATTGGCATTAGATCCCTCTTGTTTATCAACGACGCCGCCCAGGTATGTAAAGGTTTCCATATCTCTCAAAACTACTCCATCAAGTTTGATATGATGTATGCATATTATGTATGTTATGTCTAAATATCTTCCATTTCCCCTGTGTGTCTTGAGGCCAGCTGGTGTACAGGCTGCAGCTACACTGTCTATGTTCTCAGGAATTCGTGGTAGTGAGTGGATGGAAGAACTCGATCATCTACAAAGTCCAGATCACCCAGAGTCATGTCAGCTACCTACTGAATCCCGCGCTTCCCCTGAGATATTATGGTCTTCATAATCCAGTCGTCTAGAGGCAGAAAGAGAAATAGTGAGTGCAAGCAAACTTGCCTGACACCGGTCTTCACATGAAACCAATCTGTGAGATGTCCTCCACTCACAGTTTAATCAGTTATAAGTTTTCCGTATGAGGTAAACAGTCTCACGCACGCCATCGTTTTGAAGAAGCCACAATAGTGTTGTCCTGTGCACTTTGCCTTCTCGTAATTAATGAAGTTGACATACTGAGATGAATTCCATTCGATTGACTGGTCCATGATGAAAAATACTGCCGCGATTTGATCAGTACACGATTAATCCTTACGGAATAAACACTACTGATATCAGACTTTGGGGTCTATTGAATCTTTCATTCGGCTTAATAACATTCTGTTGCAGACTTTTCTTGGTATTGAGAATGAGGGGATGCTTCTGTATTATTCACAATCGCTGAGCTCTCCTTTCTTTTGCATCTTGATGAGGTGTACTTCTATCCAGTCTGTTGGTACTTGTTCTTCCTCCCGAACCTAATCGTTCTGGTTTACGATATTTTCTAGAGATCATCATCTGTCATCGCTTAGTTGTCTAGAATTTACTTTGCTTGCAGCTTTTTCTGTTATTATTGCTGCATCTTCTACATATTTGTGTCTATCGTTTTTAAGGCCGCTCTTCATTTGCTTATTTGTTTCTGTGTATTCGGCCTGTGCCCTGACTCTCTCTACATTTGTTCGACAGATATTTTATGTATTCCTTTCTTCATTCTTATCCAGAGTACTCACAGTAATCGATTCCATGTGAATATACTTCTTGAGGCCGGGAAATCATTTGATCCCCCCTACCAGCTTTCTGTTCTGATACAAAACGGTGTTATTCGAAAAAGTATATCTTTATTATTGCAGAGTTTGTCAATACCCTGAAGAAGAGTCGTAATAACTTTTTTTGATATTGTTCAACTAGTTGACTAGTCTCTCATGAGTTTCAGATTCATCTTGCCAACTACCAAGCCATGATCTTGCAGTGGTATACTTTTACGAAGAAACACAATTGCTGAAATACAAACACTTACCACTGTACTTAACTCTGACAATAATTGTTATATTGTAAACCATTTTTTTATCTGAACAAAAGACTATCTCTCGTGCGCCAAGCGTGTTCTTCCCATTACGTTTCTCCGCGCGTCCCCTGCCTGGACGATAGCCGCTTGTACGCCTTCTGGCCTCAGTATTATTTCGATATCACGAGGCTAGCATTAAATATATTTCTTCATCTAGAATCGTCCTTTATCTGATTCCTAGATCAACGGAATCAACATCTGTAATCCCGCGAAGAAGTATTTTATTTTGATTCGTTATAATCTGAAGCTGTGTCGACTCCTTTCTTGGTTCTTACACCCTCCATCGTTCTTCTGAACTTTGTATTGACGGACTTGTGTTCGACTTGTCTCTGTGTATTGTGATCTGATTAAACCTGTGTTATTCTGAGTATGCTTTTGTGGGGAAATATGAAGCCGCCTGTGACCAGTTTGTTAAATGCACATATGTTAGCAAATATCTCACAGTTTCCGTTCCTTTCTGTCAGTCCATATCGTCTCATGATGTTGCAGTGAAACACTTCTACGAAGAAAACGCAACTAATGAAAAGGAAACATCTATTATTGTACTTCTTTAGTTTGATTGTACTAAAAACACTAACTTAGGAGCGATTAACTGCAGCCTCCCATAGAATTGATGTTTATCGTTTCAATTATTATCGTTAGTCAGCGTTGTATGAATGAAAATGACTGAATGTTTAAACTCTTAAGCTACATCGATGATGGTTGAGAGAATTTTTCACACACAAAAACTAATGGAGGTTAGTGTAGGTGGTGATAAGTCCGTCACGCACAATCTGAGCCGAATAATCAGTCACATGTATGAAATTGCAACCATGAATAGTTTTTAATCAGGTGCACACAGTAATCAGGTATTGAAAACCTTAGATGAGTTATATTCTTTCTGTGTTTATCACTCTCGCACGCTCTCCGAATCTGAAATTGACTCGTTTAACTATCACCTTGAACTGGATGTCTTCCAGTTTTCGCTTCCAGATTGTCAATTTAAAGATTATCCTGGATATAATCTTTTTCCTGCTTTTCTG